AGAGATACATTATAACGCATTTGTAAAAGAATCCATGAATCCATACCGAAAAGGAGGCAAGAAGGAATACTGTTTTCTTTTGCTGCTAGTTTAAATATCAATTTGTCTTACAGATCTGTAGGTCAAAAGTCTACCATAGGTTTCCCCAGGCTACGTTCAAGACATTGACAGGGCTATGACACTTTCTGTAGACCCTGGGGAGGATTTGTTTCCTTCCTTTGAAACCAGCAATAGTGGGCCTAGACCTTCAAATGTCACAACGTTCTGACTTCTACCTCCTTCTTCCATTTTAAAGAACCTTTGGGATTATATTGGGACCATTTGGATAATTCAGGACAATCCTACTTAAGGTCAGTTTATTAGCAACCTTAACTCCATCTATAACTTTAATTCCTCTTTTGCCCATGTAAGGCAGCGTATTAACAGGTTCTGGGAATTAGGAAGTAGACATTTTGGGGGCAACTCTTATTCTGCCCACCTCAAAAAAAAAAAAGCTCTTATTTACAAAAAAATTCAACCAATAAATGCAGAAAGAAAGAAAGAATTAGAAAATCATTTAATAAAAATCATGAGAGAAAGTGATTCAGACAACAATCAGTGGATAGTAACAGGCAGACTGTTAAGGAATAGGATACTCATGTATCTCAAAATATTATGCCAGAGAACGCTTATAACAAAGGGGAAAATGTACCTTTACAATGAAGCAACTGGTGAACACTATATTAACCACATGATCAAACTTGCCATCACAAATAATGTAAAACAGTAACATCATGTACTTCCAGATGTAGTAAACTGAGAAGATGCAACTCCACTAAACAGTATCTCTACAAATGTTTAAATAGTTTAATCTAAACATGTGGAAAAAATCAGATAGGATAACAATCAAGCTTAAGGATATCTGCAAAACAACTAATCTGGATTATTTAAAAATGTCAATGTCACAAAAGAAAAAAAAATCTGAGAAATGCCTGTAAATTAAAGTAGACTAAAGAAATATGACAACTAAATGTAATCTTGATTGGATACTGGTTAGAAAACAAAAAGCCACTAAAAAGGACAGAAATTGAACAATGGGAAAATCTGCATAGGGACTGCAAATTAGGTAATAATATCTTAGGTGGGGTTGGCTTATATCTGTAAGCACTTTGGGAGATCAAGGTAGGGGAATAACTTGAGGCCAGGAGTTCAAGACCAGCCTGGGCAACACAGTGAGACACCCCATCTCTTTAAAAAAAAAAAAAAAAGCCAGCTGTGGAGGCGCATGCCTATGGTCCTAGCTACTCAGGATGCTGAGACAGGAGGATCACTTGAGCCCAGGAATTTAAGGCTACAGTGAGCTATAATCATGCTACTGCACTTCAACCTGGATGACAGACTGAGACCCTACCTCAAAAATAAAATATTAGCAGTAATATTTTACCAATGACAGACTGCTGTGTTTATAGAAAAGATGATGCCCTTATTCTCAGGAGACACATGCGGAATAACATAGGGCATAAAGTATTTGAACTAATTTTCAAATGGTTCAGACAGAGGGAAAAAGAGAGAAGGTAATATGGCGGAATGTAATTGGCAATTCCAGGGAAAGAGCATACGTGTGTTCATTGTACTATTCTTACAACTTGTCTGAAGGTTAATTTTTCTAAATAAAATGAGTTTAGAAAAATGAAAGAAAATCAGGTCTTTTTATTAACTATGACCACTAACACTGCCATTTCTGTCCAGGAAAAGCCAAAGCATCGTCATTATGCAGTTCATGCTGGCAACAAGGACTCTACCCAAGTCTGCGCGTGTTCTGTAGTGCTCGCTTTTCAGTGCCAGGCCATGGGCAGGTGATCAGGAAGGTGTGTGGGAAAACAGAGAATGGCAATATGGGGACTGGGAGAGAGGGAGAATAATAAGAGAAAGGGTCTATCTCTAAAGCCAAACTGCTAGGGTTCAAATTCTGGTTCCACCACTCCCTGCCTATAATCTTTCATAAGTTACTTAATTTCTCTATATTCAACCTCCCCACCTATAAAAGGTTGTTGATAATAATAAGTACTAAATCAGTTAATACATGTAAAGCTTTAGAACAGTTGTTGCTACATAGTAGAAATTTAAAAAGTAAATACCTGATAAAATAGCCATTAATTCACAGTGCCAAACATAA